ATAAATTTAAAAACTTGGCCATCTTCTGTAACTCTGGCTCCAAAGGATATTGAGCTCGATATTCAAACCATTTAAATTTAATCATAGTTCCAAGTTTCTCCACTATGCGGCTCACTAACTCCGGTGAGTATAAATACTGTGGTTGATTCAACGCTTGTATTGTGGCAACCACGTTCGTAATACGACTTGCAAAAGATCCTATATTTCGGCAATCTTCTGCCAATCTTGGCATACGCTTTACATTCTCGATTTCGGCTAGAATGAGCATCTCAACCCTACCGAATCTTCTTTCGAGAGCGTTCATTATTTCTTCAGGTTCACATAAAGTAAATAACAGCGACTTAACCGCCTCTTTAGCGGTGCCCTTTAATGCCCTCCTAAGGCGTGCGACATTTTGCACCCCTGAAAATTGGCCTTTTGTGTCTTCAAACACCGTTTTGAAAATTATCCATTCACCCGGGTCTCCATCGAACACCGGTAATTCCTGGAGGAAATGAAGCTGGGAAGATTTATCTTTACCAGCTATTTTTATTGCACTCACAATCGCTTCGGTCAATTCTGACACCTCACTCGCGTGTGTTTTCTGTGCATTTCCTAGGTTGCGCTCGACCTCCGCCCCTTTGCGGCGTGATCCTTTACACGCTTCCTTATCAGTAATATCGGGTTGTGCTACACTAACCGGCGCGCTCATTATGGTTTGCTGAACCCAACTCCTTACGAAAGGTTCCACCTGAGTATTCCGCTCTTCATCATCCTCACTCGAGTCGATTTCCTCTTCTCGGTTGAGTCGTGCCAACTCCAATTGAGACTTGGCTAAGGCAGCAGCTGCCTGTGCTCGTTCGAGCTCTGAGCGTTCGAATTTAATCCGCGCCTCTAATTCGGCTTTCAGCCTCGCCGATCGCGATGACCTACTACCTCTCTGTGACCCTTTATCACTAGTGTGCCCGATTACTGTCCTTGACGATGCCGCTTCTTCGGTCCTTTGACCTACTTTTTCGACCACCGTTTCACTCCTGGATATAACGGATTGTTGTGCGGTGCTGGCCTGCGTACCACTGGTGTCCGTCCTGTTGCTCGTCGTTGCCATGGACGTCCCTGAGTCCCACGTGCATGTGGACGTGTCTGTGGTGGCTCCACTTGGAGGAGTTGCTCCATTTGACGCAGTAGCTGTGGTCGCTCCAGATGATTCCGCTTCTTTAGCTTTTCTTGAGAGCCCTGTCCTTGTCCTGCTCCCTTCGCTTCTCCCTGTCTGGTCTTGTGCCTTCTTCATCTTGCAGGAAGGTGATTGTTGGCCTACGGTCCCTAACTGTCCCTACAGTCCCTACGGTCCCTACAACCCCTTACCTACAACCCTTCTACACCCCAACCTAACACCACTACCCCTCCCCCCCTTTATCTCCCAACCCTACAACCCTACTACCACCCTAACAGCCCTATCAGCCCTATCAATCCTGAACGGGGCCTACCGAGGTGAGCCGTCCAGGGATGGAGTCGTGCAGGAATGGAATGGAGGAAAGGTTTAGGAACTGTCCCGCCAAGGAATATGACGAAACAGTCGAGCGGTAGTGCAAGCGCAGTCTCGCTCGAGAGAACTGCTCCACCCGAAGGTGTTATGCCAGAGCCCAACCGTTTGGCACCGTTAGGTGGTCGGGATGTATGCTGTGCTCGCCGCCCAGTTGCCGGTGACGCCTCGTCCAAGCGCCCTCCTCCGGCCGCGATGCAGTCAGGTGCCCACGCGCACCCTCGGCCGGCAGCAGCAGCGGTGGATGCTTTTTGCACCCTGATGACCCGACGGGAAATGCCGGACACGGTCGTCCGACAGGAAATGCCAGACACGATCGTCTGACAGGAAATGCCGAGCACGCTTGCCCGACAGGAAAAATGCCAAGCCCTGCTTGGCCACGATGAGTGCCTTCACAAGACACCTGCGCCCGGCTGCGATATGTGCCCCATGCGAGCACACGCCCCAAGCTGCAATCCCGGTTTTCTTTCTTCCGGTAGTTCCAGGTCCAGCCCTTCAGTGCTGCCGTCCTGGTCTTCAGGCCTTTGGTCCTATTGCTTCAGCTCAAACCTCTGGCTTCCTTCGGTTGCTGATCTTCACTCGGCTTCCGAAGGTCTTCTTCTTCCACAACCAGCAGTCCACAGCTGGTTCCTTGATCCAGCTGGCGGGGGTTCGGGTGGTCTTCAATCCGGCTCGAAGGACCAATTGAAAAGGAACACAGGTTCGCGAGTCCTCTCAATCCGGCCGCGAAGGACCAATTGAAAAGGAACTCAGGTTGGACGTCCTCTCAATCGGCCGCGAAGGACCAATTGAAAAGGACCTAGCGGATCGGGTACTAAGAAACAGGAATCGAGGCTTCTCTCGATCCGGCCTCCTATCACGCCTACGTTGGGTTCGGGAACAACGTATGTGATCTCCGCAACGGAGTAACACACTAGGGCGATAACCTCTTCCTTTTCAGCAAGTAGGTTCAGACGGGGATTACGGGTCTTCCGAAGTCGTCCCGGTCCCGACGCCTTAATTCTTCGATGTGGACTGTATAACTTAAAGGATCTTGGGAATGAAACAGCAATTATCTTCAAACCGTTCCGTGAGAGAGTAATCACTTTTCCCTATACTGCTGGTTTTTCACTTTTCTTGAACTTTTTCTCGGATTTTCTTATTTATTTCCGAACTATTTCCGAACTTCCCGAAGGATTCCCGAACTTCCCCGAACGAATTGCAATAAAACCCGTTCACTAAGCTACCCCAGAGCTATACGCGAAAGTGAGCCGCGCCATTCGCGCGCTTGCGCAACTCAATTACATGAATTTGTTCTATTACTCTCTCACGTTTTACTCAATATCTTTATTTATTCAAATCATATACAAATACAATTTATCAATATAGGTAGTACAAAACAATATCTACACCATGATATACATCATATCTTCATATCATAAAAAACCTTTTATTTATTAAACGAAAACTGCCTATTTTACTCACAAGTTCGAAATCGAAATTTCTTAAATATTTAACACAGAAAGTTAAAACAATGTTTCTCACTTGAATTTATACATAAGCTAACCAATACAATAGTTTAATTTACATTTTTTCTATTTATTTCACTATTTAAAACACTTTTAAATTTCTTATACAAAACTATCATTATTTCACTTATACACAGGAATTTTCACATGAAAATAACACAGAATTTACCTTTTTTAGCACGTACAATTAACCTGAAATATTTTACAAGTAATTTTTACATAAATCACTGAATTACAAACATTTTAAATTTTTACATATTCGGCCTCCTAAGGGCGTGGCCAGCGTGCGTCTATGAACTCACGCTATGTGAACAACTAACTTTGCACGGCTCTCGGCTATCAGAAAAAATTAAATTATGAAATACACCAATTTTGACCATATTAGGCAAATTAAATGCTTTTATACAATTTTCGAACTGTATGAAACTATCTTTAATCAGATAACAATATAAATGAATGTTCTCATTAATCAATCATAACAAATAGGCATTTGTTTTCGTACAAAACGTATCAAACTTATACAAAACAACATTTATGCAATTAATATCCATTAATTCTGCCTATGCACAGAGTGATTATCTCGACCGGGGAACAAATCCGATCTTTAACTTCACTTTAATATTCTTATGAATTTATTAAGCGATATTACTTAGGAAAACAAACAAACTAGTCCGGCCTGGGAGTCGAACCCAAGACCTTCATATCATTAATTCGACATTTCTTAAAGATTTAACTAAGCATTCTCTTATCAGAGCGTCGTTGCTCGTGACTGCCCCTTTTTTCATAGCAACGTCATCGGTTGATTTAATAAACTGAAACATTTTTATAGGCGCGTCGCCAACACCACCATTTTACTTATTTCTGCATTAACTGCTTGTTAATGCAGAAATAAGTAAAATGGTGGTAAATAGTATAAATATTAACAAGCAGTACTTTCACTGCCCAGTTCTGGTTTGATTGTGGTGTGTCTATATTGTGCCTGCAGTCGGTTCGACCGGTGTAGGACCACGCTCTCACAGAATACCAGCGTAAAATAGCAGCTTAATACTGCAGTGTTTCGTATGGTGAGTGTAGAGATTCCGAGACCCTTTTTTACTGGAAATGAGGCATTCCGTCTCAGTCCTCAGGGATGACAACGCATCTACATTTTGATTCTTAATCGAGTATAAATGTAGATGCCTATGGACTACAGCATCCACTTACCATCAGGTGGACTGTGTGCTCGTTTGTCACCCTTATTCTATAAAAAAAACCACTATAATTACTGGTTATGAATCATTCCATCTTATTCCTCAGAGGTGACAACTTATAAATATGAAGCCTGTTTCTTTTGGCTGCGTTATTAGTCACTTGAAACCGGGTGAACTGTAAGTACGTTTTTCACGTCAGTTTTATAGAAAAAAGGGAAGCTAAATCCATGCTCAAGTTCTTGACGAGGAATTCCGCTCATATCTTTCTTTTTTCTATCATTTACAGCCCGTAATATCAACTGCTTCGACGCACGCATATGATCCTTAAACCATATTGTTCATCGCAAATGATTTTGTGTGCATCTGTGCGTATTTTTACAATAAGTTGAGCATGGTTTCGCTACGATTTGTCCATCTTTTTTGTTGGTAAGAGTCGCTTGCCAAGAGAAATGAGTATGCAAATCCCTATATGAGATAATGGTCCCCTAGTATGAGAGAGGTACATGTACGAGTATGACAGACAGACACATTTATATATATATATATATATATATATATATATATATAGTTGTAGGTTTCTTGAAGAAGCCACTTCGATACACGGAAAAATATCACAATACATTATTTGTTTTACACTGCTTCCGTCATTTCGAGTTGATAAAATTTGTCGTATCTATCGAAGATCCATTAAAAAATATCAGGCGATCTCTTAAACTACTTCCGCCCGAAAGAAAAACAAAGGACTACAAAATCAAAAGTCAAGCATGTAGGACGGCTTACCATCTCGGTTAGTCTGCTCAAGTCGAATCAGGTCTTTCGTGCGTTCTATCTTGCTGTTGAGGTGCGCAATTGCAGCTACAGCTTTTGCTGACGTCGAATTCGAACTGTTGTCATAATCGTCTGTAAAAAGTGTATATTACTTTACCGTCTTGTTAGTAGAAACAAGGTATGGTATACACAGTTGAAGTAAGCTTCACGCAGCATATACATGTAATTAGATGTTACTTTGTTTTTTATTCACATTTTTATATTAGCAAAAGTTTTAGTGTTACGTAAATACGAAATCCGTATTTTAATTAGTACAATATTTACATAAGTATTTTATAGAAAATCGTTTCAGTATTATTAACACTTGACGTCACGATACAAACGGTTTGGACTCTTACCCTGATTAGAATAATCGCCATCTTGAGCTGCAATTATAGAAATCAAGGTATTAGATAAACTTTCTCTAAAATTTCTAGTTTTTTTTTTAAATAGGATGTGTTTACTTATTCGATCATTATTAGTATATAGAAGACAAAAGAATGCGTATTTTTGTTAAGAAAATGTCAAAATTACTATGAAATATACAAATATTATACATAGCTGTGTGATACAAAAATATTCTATGTATAACGTTGTAAAAAAAAACATAATACATAAATCTATATCAAAAATTTTCTAATTTCCTTAAAATTAAAGCTTTATTAAAAATTGCAAAATCTTTATCAGTTGATCAATTATCAGAAGTTATTTTCAAAACGAATTGTTCATTTCATCATATGAGGCGAACGTTTTACACGACCTTTTGCTTTACATTGCCAGCAAATAGGTTTCAAATCAAATCCAACCAAATATCACTACTTTGTTGTAAGTTATAACAGGTTCATTAAGACTAAAATTTTACCTCTATAAGTTGGTGAGCCATATTCGTCCGCTGATGATAAGGCGTATGACACATTAGGACTGTATACGGTACAGGTGTAGTCTACCGCAGGCAATAAGTTCGACAAGCTTTTCTTTTGTGGCGAGTCTTCCAAACTGAAAAAATAAAATGAATCGTTAAAAATAAATTGTAATGGACACGCCCACTTTACAAGCGCAATATACATGTTATACTTGATTGCTAGCTGCCCAAACTTTATAATTATTTGTGTACTCCATCTTAACGGAGCCGTTTTACTGTGAGGTTGAAGATTTATTTTTATAACATTAGATTGACAAATAAGCTTGTATTCCATTTGATACAAGGTCTAGGTAAGGGAACATAAGGCCTACTATCTGGCCTACCTAGCCCAGAGACATCAGATCATGATGCTGTCACCTAAGAATAAGATAGTATATCTTCACAGACTGTAGACAGACTTTTGAAGCTCTTTATACCCTGGAAAAACTAGAATTCAATAGCGTATATGCATAGCAGCACAAATGGTGTGATAACCAATCAGATGGACTATTTAAAATTAATTATTGACATGTAACGAACTCGTTTATTTATTTTAAAATGGTATCGTAAGAGGCGACAGAGATAAATGCCAAATCAGAGCTAGGATGACACATCTTCGCGTTTCTTGAGTGGCAATCCTATTTGAACCATTTCCCATAAAATAAATATTTTTTAAAGTTAGCTATTCGCTTTTCATATATTATTTTTCATTGTAAGTGTATAACTAAGTCTAGTTATAAGATTACCTATACATTATATTTATATTGTGTTTTTAGTGCTAATTTGTTATGAAATGGCCAAATAAATATCTTTTTCTTTCTTTCAAAAAAAGAGACTGGCAGCATTATTATTTTTCTCGATAAGGACTCAAAAATATTTAAAAAAAACCTACGGTTGCCAACTCGCGTGCTAAGCTTGACAACTATGGCAAATATTCTCTATGAGACAATCTATGGGAAAACCCTAAGTTTAACAATGAACTCTTGGTAAGTTGTAGTGAATGAACTTAAACGTATTGTGGCTTTTTGTTACATTTGTTTATCTGAGGTGATCAAAAAATCTCCTTGACATTACCTTAAAAAAGTCACTCATAAAAGGTAAAAACAGTCTTCAAAAACTAATAAAAAATAGCTTCCGAGGTCAGGGTTAAATCTCTTCGATATACACGCCATAAAGCACAGTCTTCAGAATGTGAAAGTTATTTTACCACATTTTTATTAAATCACTTTCTTGTTTGTATGTCGTTCAACTAACTTCCCGATGAGCTGGAAACTTGAAATTTTGAATACAGCTCAAATTCAGATGACAATGCAAAAATATGATAAAAAACTTGGTAATTTTTTTAAAGAAATTTCACTTGTTGTTCTTGTTAGTTTTTAAAGTAATTAGTGTTACTTTTGCTTTGAAATTTAACTTTTGAACCTTTTGAGTTGACCAATTTTGATATTGCGTAATATAAAAATTGGTGAAGATATCATACGATCGAATAGAGTACCTCCTTTTTTAAGTCTTAAACCTTTTTAAACGTTAAAACTAATGAAATACCACACACGGCGTTCTTTTCTCACACTCGTACCGTAATTAGTACTAGTGTTGCGTGGTTAGACAATCCTATAAAATACGTAACTTGTAAATTTGCTTAATTGCTATTATCAAACTCGTTTCATTTAAAGCTTGCGTAGAGAATTAATTGTCTGTTTTGATTTCTATAGTATGTTATTAAATATACGTGCAACTTTTGTATTATATTAACTATTGTAATCATGAACAGTTCCCAGCTACATAATTAAACAGTTTACTTATCTAAACAGGCTATAGCCTGATTTATTATTTCTATTATAGGTTTGCGCGTTCAAATGTTTTCAATACATATATAATACAACATGAGCATATGGTAATTTACGAGTTCAAACTTATTCACGAAATAAGAAATTTAATGTGATCCGCTTATCCTCTAAGTTACGATGACAAGGCAAGTTCGTCGATACACACATTTAATAAAATATCATCCATTTTGAGGTCACAGTTTAAAACGAAACTTCGTCAGCAACTGGATAATGAGTCCTCATACCGATCCCATAAAGTGTTATTCGCGCGCGTATGGTTGCATAACAATATATTTGCGAAGTTTTATGATATTATCAAATTTTATTGAAACAAACAAATTCATTTATATAAAGAGAAGCGCTTATTAAAGCTTTTTTTATTTTAAATCTACTTCTTTTAACAATGGAAACATTTATTTCTTTGATTTGCTATCAGTCCTTTGCTTTTACAAATAATTTTTAAAAAGGCCACCGCTCCGATCGTGAGTATTATCATTGGGAGATTGGATTGAAGGAAGTTCATATCTATCAACATAATTTCGCAAACTTCTCATCGATTCGATGCAGTGTCCACATTCTCACGGTTGACCTAGCTATTATGTACATAATAGACGTATAATGAACTTGCTGCCTTGAAGTATTCAAGTTTTAATAATAGTTGAATCGATAAAATACGAATATAACTTTGTCTTATGCTGCTGCAGTATGGTGAGTACGGATAACCGGAGACCCTTTTTACTGGAAACGAGGCATTCCATCTCAGTGCTCCGGGGTGACAACACGTTTACATTTTGATTTTTAATCGAGGATAAAAGTATGTTTATGTATACGAGCTCAGGATCCACTTACCATCAGGTCGACTCTGTGCACGTTTGTCACCCTTATTCTATAAAAAAAAGATAACAGTAATCTCCTCAACAGAAGACATCTTGCAGGACAGGATTATAGTGTACGAGTATGTGCGCAAACACAGGTGTACACTCACTTTCATAGTCGGATGGGATGGCAGTCCGACACAAACTAAGGATCAAAGGCGTTTCGTGTTTTCCGCGGCAAGGGGGTAAAACATCGCTAAATTCCTAACTTCGGCTACTACTGTGAATTTCTATCATACGATCACTAGATCAACAAGGCAGTCATGAATTACACAATACAATACAAACTTATGAAAAATAACATATAAAGACTTACTCTCTGGAAGTGTTAACAGCGTTGGTCGACATCGGATTGTTTCCCAATTCTCTGGAGTGTGACTTGACGTGGAGGCCACCTCGTTCGCTGTGACGCGACGATGAGTTTGATGACGGCTCCTAATAGCAATAAAGCAAAATAATATTAGGAAATGGGAACCGTGTAGTGAACGGTGGCGTTGTAAGTCAATCCATCACACTATTCCGTCCCTTGGGTCATTAAACGCGACTATGGGAAATGCCAAGAATATAGACGGACGTAAAATACACAGAAGATTTTTTACGTGGTAGAGCCAAGTTGCAGCTATATTATAGTTGTAGCATGTATGGGTCGGCTCGACTCTCTATATATCTCTCTCTATATAATGCTGCTGTGTTTCGTATGGTGAGTGTAGAGAACCGGAGACCCGTTTTATTGAAATCGAGGCATTCTATCTTAGTCCCCAGGGGTGACAATGCATTTGCATTTTGATTGTTAATTGAGGATAAATGTACATAGGCATATGGTAAAAAAGAGACGCATTTGACTCGAAACCGAATGAGAAATCACTTTTATGAGTATTAAATATTAAGTGGAAAATTTGTATCTCTCGATCTTACAAGCCTATTACAGTATGTAAACACCTCGATCTTCAAACGTTGCTTTCCGTCACCAGTTTTTAAGTATAATTAATTTAGTAATTTTTTATGGTTATTCGCGGGAGTTTTCAGTCTACTTTCACGACAACCTCAAGATTAGGTATATAGACTGACGTATCTGCATACATATACCTACTGGGACTGGTTAACAAAGTTATTAAATGCTAAGGTTTCTTTTGCTTTGTGTATTGTTGTGTCAATTATTAATAATAATATCCTCCAGACCGAATTTCAGGATTAACGGAGACTAGCTATCCGCGTAGGACAGGATTATGGCACACGAGTGTATGCGCAGGCATAGGTGCACTCTCTATTCCCCTCTCTCGTAGATTCGACACGACGGAAAATATATCAGGCACAGGAAAATATATCACGTGCTTTCTGAAGCATGGGGGTTGTAACACGGCCAAAAGATATAATAGAAAAAGGCAAAACTGATTATTACTAATATTATACTGACTGGTATTCAAACCCAGGATCTCGTGATCAGCAAACACGTTTAAGACCAACGAGGCGGTCAATGATTATACATCACTCAACATAATCTTACAATCACCTTTTTGTTAAATCGCGCATCGTTGTTTCTAGGATACATACAAGGTCAGCTCGCATTAACCTTCCCACATTTTGAATTTATCTATTATTGCTTAACTGCTAAACTTCTGACCTTAGTTGCTTAGTGTTTTTTGTCCTACGGGAACAGGTTATTCTAACATTCTAAAGTTATATTCAACTTGTCGTAATCATCTCTCAATGTCGACAAAACAAATTATCAGTTACCTTGTAATGAAAAAAAAAACGTTTTAACAAGAGTTAGTTTTTGTAATTAAAAATCTCTGATATCATTTCGAATGTATTTTTATAATTATATGATTTCATTTGATTTTTTCAAATGCAAATAATCTTTATATATAAAATTCTTCTTTCTGTCCGTGTATATTGTGACTGAACTCTAAAACGGCCGGACCGATTTTGATGAAATTTTACGTGTGTGATTAACTAAGTCGATTCGAGAATGGTTTAGATACCCGGTATGTGACGCTGTTATCCAAATCTAAAAATCACCCGTGCGAAGTCGGGACGGATCGCTAGTATTTTGTAAAACAAATTTAAAAACAGGTTTGCAATGTTTATTTCGGTTTTATGGAAACGCTTATAAAATGTCTGAATATGAGATCCCATCAAAAACATAATTATTAAAATAGGGACCAAGAGAAATAGAAATCAGGGAAGAGAAGTACAAACGATCTTCGCCGGGTACTAAACTCTATAGTAATTACTTATATCATACTCTTAGAATATATAGTACAATATATGAATAACGTTTTTTTAACTTAGTATTCATACAGATGTTAAGTCTCAAAGCCGACAACTCCAACAGCGTTTATACTGAACTTGACCCTACACAATTATTTTTTCTGTGGGATAACATAAATTTTTGAAATTAATCCACCTTGGTGCTATATTTCTAAGTCGTTTCGTGTAGATAAAGATTTTACTAATAGCTTAAAAAACCTAATATCGATAAAAACGTTATAAATCTCAATATTAAATTTAAATATTTACGTGCAATCAATATGTCCTTTTGTTTAAATACTCACTGCACGTTTGTATTTCATACAGTTTTGCTTAACTGAATTAAAACTATACATTATGTGCTATCCATTCAAAATTTATAAAACATTATGCTCAAAAGATTGCAAAAACGATCGTACGTTATGTCAAACTAAGCGTTTATATTAGTTGGGTTAACGATAAGAAGGATAAGATATAACATAAAACTGACAATGTTTTTCTATAAGAAGAGCTCTTTTCTAAAGAGCACGGCGACGTTCGAATATGCTCATGGTCAGGACATTTTATGTAGCCAAAAAGAGAGAGTCGCTTGTCCTTAACTCCGAACCTGATGTACGTTTATGCGAAAATACTTGGACTTTCACTGTCTCGTTGGACTAATGTTAGTAAACGCTGCTGACCTTGAGGTCCCGAGTTCGAATTCTGTATCGGGCCAAAAAATCAGAAATTCTCAGTAGCAGTTCACTGCCGTGCCTCGGAAAGCACGTAGTCTTAAAGGACTCTCGCTCTCTCTCTCTCTCTCTTTCCGATAGTGTCAGATTAAACTTTGATAGTAAGGGAATAGAGAAAGAACATGTGCTTGCGAATACACTTAGGCACTAGGTTAGGCTTTTCGTTGAGACAGGCTGCCATCACAAAGATTCGGTCTGCAGTACATTTTTCGGCAAAATTAGAGGCAGATTCTTTTGTAATATTGACATTACACATATGAGGAAAATCGCAACATATTGACACATGAACCGGATGTTTTGTACAAAATATTCACTCCTGGTTATACGTAGGATATGTAGACCCAGGATCCGTACTTTGCAGCCATATAGTCTATTACCTAGAAGACGTGATCTTCAACAGTTACAAAAATGATATTAATAGTATTTCTCATACATGTTTCATATACGTTTACATTCCGAGTCGCAATAAAATTGCATCTGCCTTTTCTACTATCTATCTATATTCTAAAAACCAGTTCCTCTACTAACTTAATACCTAGTTCTTGCTATACCAGCAAAACAAGTATAAAGAACGTATATGAACGTTATAATGTACCTAGTAAGAAATATAGACCAAAAGTTTTCTCTTATCAATTCACTTCCCTGGCTGTAAAAGTGGGAGTAGAAGATAAAAATCTATTGAACGTTTCAAGATCTTGAATACATTGAGAGTAAATATTAAATCGTAAAATACCCCAAAGCAAACAGTCACATCTGTGGCGTTTTTTGACTTAGCTTTTTATTGCCCTTTCCTTTTCAGACTATGGCGCCATTTCGAGACGTCTAGACATTGTGTTTAGCGATTAAATGTATAAACTCGGCAACAGTGCACATTTTAGGAAGCAGCAACTTGTTTGATAGAATTAGTTGATAGCATTTTTAAATCATTACTTAGTCTTTGTTCTAAAGTACAAATGTAATTTTAATCAATTAAAATCCAAACGGTACTTCATTTTCGAATGTTAAGCTTTAGTTAAAAATAAGAATTAAAGACCCATAAAACATTTAAATGAAAAACCTAGCAATAAAAAATTGCCTAGAATGAAAGACTCGTAGGTATTTAAAATAAGGTGCTGCAGGAAATGAATAAAATTGTACCTTTAACGTATCCTATCACTCAGTTATGTATAAGAAATTAAGTCTTGTACAACTTTAATGATAGACTTTAAATTGACAGTCATCTTACTTAAATATCCTCGCATTTTATTTCATTTCATGACACACGTCTGATAACGTAGAACAACTGGAGATTTTACTTTTTTTTCTAGACTCATCATCATCATTTCATTACAGCCTTTCACAAGTCCACTGCTGGGGCGGGGGTTAGTATACTCCTAACTTTTTGATATTATCAGTAGGACTAGTTTAACACCTATTCTGCTCTCCTGTCCGGCGAGCAGTTTGGCGAATGGCTCTGGGGGAGAGCGCAGGTCGTGTTGATCCCCAGGGCAAGTCTGAGGAGTTCTTCCTTCACGTGGTTGCCGCCTGTTATTTGGTCTGGTTCAATAGGAAACAGACAGAACTGAAATACTCAGACGATCCTCTTATCTTTTATTCCTTAGATCCATTAGATCATTAAACCTTGGATTACGACTGGTCTTCTTAGATGTATTCGTCACCGTGATAAACTACATAAGAGGGCTAGACGATTTCCAGATAGTGAAAGTGATCAAATTATATACCGACGATATCGTAATCACTGTAACGCATTGTTAAAAAAAGGTAAAGAGAAATTATGAAAAAGAGCGAGTGAATATGGCTAAAAATAATAATAAGAAGCTATGGGAAGTACTTACTGATATTATAGGTAACATGAAAAAGAAAGGGTATAACAGAGAACTGTTAAATATATCTAGCACGCCGCATGTATCTGTTAACCTTATTAATAATTATTTTGTAAATGTAGGTAAAAGTTTGGCAGAGAGTTTTAAGGTAGGAAATAAAAACAGTGAAAGTTTTAATATTAACATTGGTGAAGAATCAAATTATTACTTAAATTCATTTGCTTTATTGGACACGGATGAAAGTGAAGTAGAACAATTAATTGACAATTTGAAAACCGACTGTTCAGTTGGTTGGGATGGAATTTCGAATAAATTTATTAAAAATTTTAAATATTTGTTAATACCTCCTTTAACTTGTATATTTAATCAATGTTTAAATGATGGTGTATTCCCTAGATATCTTAAGAAGTCCGTAATTCGACCTATTTTTAAAGATGGTGAAAAAACCTGTTTAAGTAATTATAGACCCATCTCTATATTACCTGCTTTATCCAAAATTTTAGAGAAAATTATAAATAATAGACTTACAAAATATCTGGAGAAAAATAATTTATTGTCAAATACGCAGTTTGGTTTTAGACATGGCAAATCAACGGAGCATGCCGTTCATACTCTTACAAATTTTTTGTCA